CAGGTGGCGGAGGAGGAGGCGGAAATGGTTGTCTCTGTTGTTGTTGGTTTTGCTCTTGCTGTTGTCTCACCAACCCAGTTAAAGCTTCCACCATTCTTTCTAACCGATCCATTCTGGCATTAGAAGATTCTGACTCATCTACATTCCTTGCATTAGTGTTCTCCATTGGTCTCTAGTACCCATAGCAGATAGAATATTTCATTCTCAACATAATAGTTCCTCTGTTGTCTCATCATTTACAGTTCTTGTCTTTTTATATATTCAAAAACACACGCACACATGCACATATGTTTATGCCATGCCCTATTTCTTTTCTAGGACACCCTACAGCTCATATGGACACGTGTGTGAGTAAATTAACTCGTGCGCTCTGATACCATTCTGTCACGACCCAAACCCGCCCCGAGAAGGTTGGCATCGTAACCGGCCAGTAATCCTAGATTACCACAGGCCTTTCTGTACAAAACATACATAACCGGGGCTTACGGAAGCGAAAACAAAACACTAATAGTCCAAAGAGCTGTGCATTTATATGAACATACACCACATGCCAAAAATGTTAATTTACCCACTACATTACATCACATATAATCAAAATTCATGTACAAAACATAGGTTCACGCCACATGTACAACCACGCCACATGTACAACCAAAACCAAGCTTCCTAACGGCCTTCTAGGCCTAGCCCCAACTCGGAGGCACCAAAACACCGGGTAGGCTTCAAAACGACGGCTCGGCTCGGACTCCGCCTAGGCTTGACTCCCAGAGTGCTCACCTATAAATACATATATACAAACAATGAGCTAAAGCTCAGCAAGTAACATTAACGTAAAGGGGTAGTGAACGAATTCCACATTTCATATATCCATATAATAAATCATTCATAAACATAATCATCTCATATCAGGAACATACATAATGGCATACTCCATAGAACATAACATTTGTCGTCCAACGACTAGAGTAACCGGTCCCGGGCACCGATTAAACACATATCGAGATCTCGTAAACTGGTCCACTTAGGACTATCTATGGATGCCATACTAGATTCGCAAACTGGACATTTGTTCACAGAAAACATTTATCATTTCGAAACCATAGCATAACGTAGCACTTTTAAACATAGATCACACTAACATATCTTTACAGAAATGTTACTCACAGTGGGTTTCCAAAACCGATTGCACGGTCTTCGCCTCCTGACCTGCAATTATTAACATTAGAACACATTATCATAAAAGCAAGTGTTCATGCCATACTATCCTTTCTTTACTCTATTTCATGATTATGAGATGCTAAATGATGCAAATGACATGTGAAAATCATGTAATTCAACTTCTCAAAATTTCTTGAAATAAGTCCCCCGCTCGAGCGCCACTTTGTCTGCTCGAGCGGACTGCACAATTTTCCAAAACTGCTGGGAGGCCGATTTTCACGCTGAATTTTGATGGGTTTTGGTTGAATTGGTGTTTGCCTCTTTATCTTTCTCTGCTTATATGGTGATTGTTTTGTGCGTTGTGAACTGAAAACGAGCTCATATTGATGTCTTATCGGTTTCCCAATTTTGTGTTCTAATCGCTGAATTTGTGGTTTTTGTTGTTGAATTTTGATGGGTTTTGGTTGAATTGGTGTTTGCCTCTTTATCTTTCTCTGCTTATATGGTGATTGTTTTGTGCGTTGTGAACTGAAAACGAGCTCATATTGATGTCTTATCGGTTTCCCAATTTTGTGTTCTAATCGCTGAATTTGTGGTTTTTGTTGTTGAATTTTGATGGGTTTTGGTTGAATTGGTGTTTGCCTCTTTATCTTTCTCTGCTTATATGGTGATTGTTTTGTGCGTTGTGAACTGAAAACGAGCTCATATTGATGTCTTATCGGTTTCCCAATTTTGTGTTCTAATCGCTGAATTTGTGGTTTTTGTTGTTGAATTTTGATGGGTTTTGGTTGAATTGGTGTTTGCCTCTTTATCTTTCTCTGCTTATATGGTGATTGTTTTGTGCGTTGTGAACTGAAAACGAGCTCATATTGATGTCTTATCGGTTTCCCAATTTTGTGTTCTAATCGCTGAATTTGTGGTTTTTGTTGTTGAATTTTGATGGGTTTTGGTTGAATTGGTGTTTGCCTCTTTATCTTTCTCTGCTTATATGGTGATTGTTTTGTGCGTTGTGAACTGAAAACGAGCTCATATTGATGTCTTATCGGTTTCCCAATTTTGTGTTCTAATCGCTGAATTTGTGGTTTTTGTTGTTGAATTTTGATGGGTTTTGGTTGAATTGGTGTTTGCCTCTTTATCTTTCTCTGCTTATATGGTGATTGTTTTGTGCGTTGTGAACTGAAAACGAGCTCATATTGATGTCTTATCGGTTTCCCAATTTTGTGTTCTAATCGCTGAATTTGTGGTTTTTGTTGTTGAATTTTGATGGGTTTTGGTTGAATTGGTGTTTGCCTCTTTATCTTTCTCTGCTTATATGGTGATTGTTTTGTGCGTTGTGAACTGAAAACGAGCTCATATTGATGTCTTATCGGTTTCCCAATTTTGTGTTCTAATCGCTGAATTTGTGGTTTTTGTTGTTGAATTTTGATGGGTTTTGGTTGAATTGGTGTTTGCCTCTTTATCTTTCTCTGCTTATATGGTGATTGTTTTGTGCGTTGTGAACTGAAAACGAGCTCATATTGATGTCTTATCGGTTTCCCAATTTTGTGTTCTAATCGCTGAATTTGTGGTTTTTGTTGTTGAATTTTGATGGGTTTTGGTTGAATTGGTGTTTGCCTCTTTATCTTTCTCTGCTTATATGGTGATTGTTTTGTGCGTTGTGAACTGAAAACGAGCTCATATTGATGTCTTATCGGTTTCCCAATTTTGTGTTCTAATCGCTGAATTTGTGGTTTTTGTTGTTGAATTTTGATGGGTTTTGGTTGAATTGGTGTTTGCCTCTTTATCTTTCTCTGCTTATATGGTGATTGTTTTGTGCGTTGTGAACTGAAAACGAGCTCATATTGATGTCTTATCGGTTTCCCAATTTTGTGTTCTAATCGCTGAATTTGTGGTTTTTGTTGTTGAATTTTGATGGGTTTTGGTTGAATTGGTGTTTGCCTCTTTATCTTTCTCTGCTTATATGGTGATTGTTTTGTGCGTTGTGAACTGAAAACGAGCTCATATTGATGTCTTATCGGTTTCCCAATTTTGTGTTCTAATCGCTGAATTTGTGGTTTTTGTTGTTGAATTTTGATGGGTTTTGGTTGAATTGGTGTTTGCCTCTTTATCTTTCTCTGCTTATATGGTGATTGTTTTGTGCGTTGTGAACTGAAAACGAGCTCATATTGATGTCTTATCGGTTTCCCAATTTTGTGTTCTAATCGCTGAATTTGTGGTTTTTGTTGTTGAATTTTGATGGGTTTTGGTTGAATTGGTGTTTGCCTCTTTATCTTTCTCTGCTTATATGGTGATTGTTTTGTGCGTTGTGAACTGAAAACGAGCTCATATTGATGTCTTATCGGTTTCCCAATTTTGTGTTCTAATCGCTGAATTTGTGGTTTTTGTTGTTGAATTTTGATGGGTTTTGGTTGAATTGGTGTTTGCCTCTTTATCTTTCTCTGCTTATATGGTGATTGTTTTGTGCGTTGTGAACTGAAAACGAGCTCATATTGATGTCTTATCGGTTTCCCAATTTTGTGTTCTAATCGCTGAATTTGTGGTTTTTGTTGTTGAATTTTGATGGGTTTTGGTTGAATTGGTGTTTGCCTCTTTATCTTTCTCTGCTTATATGGTGATTGTTTTGTGCGTTGTGAACTGAAAACGAGCTCATATTGATGTCTTATCGGTTTCCCAATTTTGTGTTCTAATCGCTGAATTTGTGGTTTTTGTTGTTGAATTTTGATGGGTTTTGGTTGAATTGGTGTTTGCCTCTTTATCTTTCTCTGCTTATATGGTGATTGTTTTGTGCGTTGTGAACTGAAAACGAGCTCATATTGATGTCTTATCGGTTTCCCAATTTTGTGTTCTAATCGCTGAATTTGTGGTTTTTGTTGTTGAATTTTGATGGGTTTTGGTTGAATTGGTGTTTGCCTCTTTATCTTTCTCTGCTTATATGGTGATTGTTTTGTGCGTTGTGAACTGAAAACGAGCTCATATTGATGTCTTATCGGTTTCCCAATTTTGTGTTCTAATCGCTGAATTTGTGGTTTTTGTTGTTGAATTTTGATGGGTTTTGGTTGAATTGGTGTTTGCCTCTTTATCTTTCTCTGCTTATATGGTGATTGTTTTGTGCGTTGTGAACTGAAAACGAGCTCATATTGATGTCTTATCGGTTTCCCAATTTTGTGTTCTAATCGCTGAATTTGTGGTTTTTGTTGTTGAATTTTGATGGGTTTTGGTTGAATTGGTGTTTGCCTCTTTATCTTTCTCTGCTTATATGGTGATTGTTTTGTGCGTTGTGAACTGAAAACGAGCTCATATTGATGTCTTATCGGTTTCCCAATTTTGTGTTCTAATCGCTGAATTTGTGGTTTTTGTTGTTGAATTTTGATGGGTTTTGGTTGAATTGGTGTTTGCCTCTTTATCTTTCTCTGCTTATATGGTGATTGTTTTGTGCGTTGTGAACTGAAAACGAGCTCATATTGATGTCTTATCGGTTTCCCAATTTTGTGTTCTAATCGCTGAATTTGTGGTTTTTGTTGTTGAATTTTGATGGGTTTTGGTTGAATTGGTGTTTGCCTCTTTATCTTTCTCTGCTTATATGGTGATTGTTTTGTGCGTTGTGAACTGAAAACGAGCTCATATTGATGTCTTATCGGTTTCCCAATTTTGTGTTCTAATCGCTGAATTTGTGGTTTTTGTTGTTGAATTTTGATGGGTTTTGGTTGAATTGGTGTTTGCCTCTTTATCTTTCTCTGCTTATATGGTGATTGTTTTGTGCGTTGTGAACTGAAAACGAGCTCATATTGATGTCTTATCGGTTTCCCAATTTTGTGTTCTAATCGCTGAATTTGTGGTTTTTGTTGTTGAATTTTGATGGGTTTTGGTTGAATTGGTGTTTGCCTCTTTATCTTTCTCTGCTTATATGGTGATTGTTTTGTGCGTTGTGAACTGAAAACGAGCTCATATTGATGTCTTATCGGTTTCCCAATTTTGTGTTCTAATCGCTGAATTTGTGGTTTTTGTTGTTGAATTTTGATGGGTTTTGGTTGAATTGGTGTTTGCCTCTTTATCTTTCTCTGCTTATATGGTGATTGTTTTGTGCGTTGTGAACTGAAAACGAGCTCATATTGATGTCTTATCGGTTTCCCAATTTTGTGTTCTAATCGCTGAATTTGTGGTTTTTGTTGTTGAATTTTGATGGGTTTTGGTTGAATTGGTGTTTGCCTCTTTATCTTTCTCTGCTTATATGGTGATTGTTTTGTGCGTTGTGAACTGAAAACGAGCTCATATTGATGTCTTATCGGTTTCCCAATTTTGTGTTCTAATCGCTGAATTTGTGGTTTTTGTTGTTGAATTTTGATGGGTTTTGGTTGAATTGGTGTTTGCCTCTTTATCTTTCTCTGCTTATATGGTGATTGTTTTGTGCGTTGTGAACTGAAAACGAGCTCATATTGATGTCTTATCGGTTTCCCAATTTTGTGTTCTAATCGCTGAATTTGTGGTTTTTGTTGTTGAATTTTGATGGGTTTTGGTTGAATTGGTGTTTGCCTCTTTATCTTTCTCTGCTTATATGGTGATTGTTTTGTGCGTTGTGAACTGAAAACGAGCTCATATTGATGTCTTATCGGTTTCCCAATTTTGTGTTCTAATCGCTGAATTTGTGGTTTTTGTTGTTGAATTTTGATGGGTTTTGGTTGAATTGCTATGAAATTGAGTTGAATTGGTGTTTGATTCTTGTATATCTGCTTATATGGTGAATTGGCGATTGTTTTGTGGGTGAACACACAAGCTCAAATTGATGGCTTATTGGTTTCCCAATTGTTAGGATAAGGATTAGTCATTGTATTTTGTAGCTAGATGCTTGAATTTTGGGTGCTTTTGATGGACAATGACAGGGTTTGATTTTTTCCTGGCCTTTTGTTGATTTCATAGGGAGACAGAGTATTTTTTTTAAGGACTTGGTTGTACTCAGTGCGTGTGTTCACTATTGATATCATATGGAGTAAGAGTGAGTTTTTAACAACTTGGTTGTACTCGGTTCGTGAGTGTTCACTATTGGCTTCAGACATGAATGAAGACCTCCCGTTTGGCACTAATATTTGAACTTCCGAGTTGCTTTGGGAGGTCAAAATTCTCCCCTGAACTGTGGCTCCTACTTGGCTTGATATTTTCATTTGGCAAATATGATTGTGTTTTCATTCCCTAAGGTTGTGTTTTGTTCTTGGATTTGTGGGGAAAAAAAAAAAAAGGAACAAAAGAAAAGAAAAGGGATTTGTGAAAATAATTTAGCTTCTATTTTATTCACAACTCTTTTTGTCCCTATTAATCCGTACACTAAGTTCCAAACACAACCTTAATGGTTTGTGGCCTCTGCATATCACTTATTCCTTTCCTGAAGACAGGCTTGGAGTGTTTTGGAACTATGAAGGTGATGAATGTTTCATTCATTTTTCTTCAGGCAGAGAGGGGGGTGGGGGTTTGAGGTAGAGAAATTTTTAAAGACCATTTTTGGTGATGATTGTCACTAGTTCATCTATCATGTGGTTACCTTCACATGAATTATATGACTTTCAACTTATTTGGGGATTATCATGTACAGGGGAGACTATCCAGTGTCATCTTGGTAGAATTACTTTTCTCTTGCCGAGATAAGTAATTGGGGTAACTGTAGTATATTATGTCACAGAACAATTAGCTCAATTTTTTGAGTTTAAGGTTAACTGAATGAATACTCTTTGGTTTCTTTCTCCACAAAGATAGCCTTCTTATAACAGATGCCAAACTATTCTTTTGGCAGAGATGCGTTGTCCAATTTAGTTGAACTCCACGGTCCACTCTTAAGAATCTTTCCTAATGGCATTCTTGTTAAGAATGTCTTTCCAAACTTCTGCAGAATGGTTACAGGCCATTTAGGTTCTACATTCATACCTCATTTAGCCAATCTGCCATAGCAGAGCTGTCAGGGTCTAAAGGCATGTTTGGGGGTGTTTTGAGGAAACCAAACTGTTCTGTAACACTAAATCTTTGGTTTATGATTTCTTATTGCTTCCCAAGCTTCTTGAACATAGTGTTCCCCATATTTGGATGAAGTCCAGAATCCTATTTACTTTATCTTGATGTGTTAACTGTGGCTGTAATGGGTTAATGAGTTAAGACTATTGTTCAAAATGCCCTGAATCTCCCCTGATCTTTGCCTTGGCCATCCCCATGAGCCATTGACACCTTTAGCCTGCAAATATTTCCCCAAGTTACATATATTAGTAAGTAATATTTCCCCAAGTTATAGTAGTTAGTATTCTGACACCATATTTTTTGATTAATTGCCAACTGAGATGCCAATTACCAATCCATAAAGAAGTAGATTTCCAATCACTATCATATATTTTATCCATATTTGAGCCATTATTTCTCAAGTTAAACATTTGTTGTCCGAGTCTCTGGGTATTTTTATTTAAGCTTTGTCCTTCTATTATGTAACTGTGAACTGTGAACTGTGAATCCACTTTACACACATGGATGGTTCCGTTTGATTAGTGAGATAGGTTTTTTTTTTTTTTTTTTTTTTTTCTCCCCATTTTCTTTCTTTCCCTTCCCTTTCTTCTCTGAGAAAGAGAGAAAAACACAAGAGGGGAGAGAGAGAGAGAGAGAGAGAGAGAGAGAGAGAGAGAGAGAGTGTGGTGTGGGAGTCTAGCCCTACTAGCCTAGCCTTTGGTCTCTTCCATTTCCTCATCAATTACTCAACTCAAGTCTCAAACGATAATATACAAACGGTAATATACAAACGGTTATAATTAAAATTACTATAAATATCTTTCATTTTTCAAAATAAATCTCACAACAAATAATTCTCTTTCTCTCTCTTAAACTCTCTCAATCTCTTTTAAACTCTCAATCTCTCTCAACTCTTAATTAATTTTGAAGTGTCATCCCTAAGTGACAATTGCAATTGTGTAACAAAAAACTTTTATCAGAAGAAGCAAATTTTTGTATCGCATTCGCCAGTCGGTAGCATTAATTAGTTTAATTAAATTTATTAGCTACTCATTTTTTTCATTAATTATTTGTGCACATATATTAATTATTATTTTCACTGATTGTATTTACACATTATTTAAATTAATTGTTAATTCTTATATATTGTTTTACTTACATTACTATGGATCCTAATATGTCTAATGTTTATGTTGATGTTGATACATATACTACACAATATGAATTTTTGATTTTCTTTCTAATATCCCTCTTCCAACAGTTGGATCATCATCTAGGAGTAGAAGTAGTAGTGTTTGGGAACATTTTGAAACAATATCTATAAATAATCCTGATGGTACAATTACATTTAAAGCAAAATGTAAATATTGTACACATTTACTTAGTGCTGCATCTGTAAGGGATACTAGTCATCTAAAAAGACATGCTAACAGACATTTATAAAGTAAACAACTTGATATTTGAAGTCAAATGCAATTAGGGGCTTCATCAGCTAGTAATTTGCAAACATTTTCATATGATCCTATATGTGCCCAAAATTCTATAGTTGATTATATTATTAAAAAAGAATAACCTTTTACTAATAGTGAATGTCTCGATTTTACCGATATCAAAGTTTTTCAAGAAATATTACTAGAAATAAGATTTTAGAAAAATTTGAGGATGTTAAAAGTGAATTATTTGGCATCTTTAAAAATTTGAATGGAAGAGTTTGTTTAACATCTGATCTGTGGTCAAATAATGGTTTTGAATATCAATGTATCACTGCACATTTTATTGATAATGAATGGAAATTAAATAAAAGAATTATTTCATTTAAATTAGCTGAACTTCTATACATTGGTCATGCCACGACCCCAAACCGCCCCTAGTAGGATGGTGCCGTGATGGCCAGTAATCCGAGATTACCAAAGGCCACTTACAAAATTCACACACAATCAGAGTATAAATATATAGGGCTCACAAGTACAAAAGTAATACATACAAATCAGAATAGTCCATGAAAGCTGTGCGTAAGTCAAATGGAATGGCAAACATCTTTACATGGGTTACAACTTAGTTACAAATGAAGTAAAGTACTAATTATATCTTGACCAAAAGGCTTCTCAAGCCGACGTATGCAAAATGCAAGTATTACAAGTCGAGAAACATAATTTTCAAGACTGCCGACATGAATATAAGTCAAGCCAACACAACAAAAATCCAAAACAAACTCGCGAATCACATCTAGGCGCCACCGCCTTCTAGCTCATCACCTACATATATATAGAGAGGGTGAGCTTGGATACTCAGTAAATGATATAAATAATAAAGCAATTCCAAAATAGTCGATCACATGTAGTGGATCTCGAATATACTTCCTCTCAAAACGATACACATCAAAACTTTATATAACAAGGGATGGACCCCGTCCAACTAGCAAATCTTTAAAGCTTCAAGGGATGCTTACTAGCATCAACATATTACAAATGATGACATTCCGGACAAACAAATCCACGCGGCAAACCGTCAGTGGCAAAACAAGACAAAGCAAGGGAGATATCTCAAACAATGGTGCTACAAAAGTTTAGAGTCCTCTAGCACAAATGACCTATGTTACAAAGGCCCGTAGCCCCCTAACACGAGAGTACTGCAAAAGTTTAAAGTCCTCCAGCACAAGGGACTTTCAAAACAAGATGTGCAGTTGCATTATAGTCCCCTAGCACTAAGGACTTTCAAAACAAGATGTCATCAAAACAAGATAATACTTGATATACAAAATAGGGACAAATACTTTTCAAACAAGTACTTTTCAAAACAAATACTTTTCAAAACAAAGCAAAGCATAGCTCATCAAAACATTGATAACATAGCTTTATTAAACATACCACTCACTTAGTTCTTCAACGTCGGGGTCAAGGCAAAAGTCCGAGTCCTACAAACACATGACAAAGTCTATTGAACGTACTTTCAAACAAGATTCACATGCAAACGGATGATCTCGGCGTTCATCAAAACTAAGTTAAATCAAACAAAACACTATTTTTCATCTCGGGGAAAATATGCTGGGCATCAACCAGGTCTTGGCCGAGGTCCCACACCTTCTCGCCGAGGTGTGGTTCCGACGGCCACATTCAAAAGCGAAGTCGGGAAAATCTGGGTTTCTCTTTGAGGAACATGAAGATGGAGAAGATGCAGAACATGCATGCTAAAATCATAACTTGTTATTACAAAGTCTGAGATTTCGTGCTATGAGTTCGAAAACATGGACTTGGGCACCCATATTCAAAGGTCTTGTGAGAACAAACACAAAAACATGGTTCTAGATGCAAACTTTCGGATCAAAACAAGACTTTCTTCAAGAACACAAGAACACTATTTTCTCTTACTAAAACCGACTTTAAATCAATTCATGGCATGCAAAACAGATTCGATCGTGCAATGCAGCTAAATGATCAACAAGAACAATAAGAGTAGATTAAGATTCTAACCTCAAAACTTGGATCTAACGGTTCAAACTCCAACGATCGAACTTGGAAGTCTACCCTCTCACTTAAAACTTCTCCTTCTCCTTCCTAGAGCCTCTCTCTCTAAAAGACAAGATTTGATACAAAATGATATGTTTTCTCGACAACCACTGACTTATCTGCTGGGACATGTGGCATCAGCTGATTGGCTCTACTCAAAAAGGCGACTGACCGACAAGACAAGACAAGACCATGACAAAGTGTATTCAATAAGCTAGACGACAAGAGCACTCCGGCAAGTGATGATCTCGACTAAGGGCAAAGCCTCGGCAAGTAGGGTGACAACGACATCGGCTTGGAAGGACGACACGTGACTAAGCTGTGCCACACCTTGGCCTAGATGTGCCACACCTCGGTCTAGGTCATACCACTCCAGGAACAAAACCACTAGTGTAGCAGCCCTCGCCTTACTCTTGTCATACTTGCATACATTCATGCATGATCTTGTCTTGATATGTTATTTTGCTAGTTTTGCCTTGCCTCGTTTTGGCTAAGTATTGCTTGCATGATTTTGTTCTTTGCTCGGCGTGTAGCCGAGGTCATCTTGAGATTTGATCCACTCTGAGCCTTTGTACTTTGAATGTTGTGGAACCGCTTGGTCGATACCATCTTCACCTCGGGCATTATTGCCGAGATGTGTTGCACATTAGTGAACCTTGTCCGCAGGCAGGTATGGCCTAGGCCGAGATGTGGCACACCCCGGCCAAG